AGAGAGAGAGAGAGAGAGAGAGAGAGAGAGAGAGAGAGAGAGAGAGAGAGAGAAGGGAATGGAAAAGATGAGCCTTCCCAGGTTTCTTGCCCTGTTACCAACCTCCTCCAGCCACACCCCACTTGCCTACAGTTACCACCCACTTAGTCCATTCAGATCAGAATGGTCTGATTAGGCTACATCTCATAATTCAATCATTTCAGCTCTGAATATTCCTATATTAACACAGGAGCTTTGGGGGAATCCTTCCCATCTAAACCATAACAAAAGCATACTAGGTTAGGATAATGGTTAGGATAATGCGGGTGCAATGGGTGTCTTCTCAGAAGGGGACAGATTTGAATACAACCTTGATGGATAGATAGACTCAAGTCGACAGGAAAGTAGGACAGTGTGTTAAAAACATGAAGGCAGGAGTGGTAAAGGCACTCTCAAGAATCACAAAAATCAACAAGCATATAGTTTTGCTAGAGCAGGGGATCCATGGGGCAAATGATAGAAAAATTTACACAGGTGGACTGAGATGCCTGAAGGATGCTGGTAAGGGTTAGTGAATCTGGCTTCCAATGTCCAGGAAACATGGACACATCAAAGGCCTTGGGGAAAGAGGTATTGCCAGTTTCTAGAAAAATTAAGCTCATTTTGTCACAAGCAGACTGAGATATGAGAGGAGAAACATTTAGGAGGAAAGGACTGTGGTTTCACCTGGTCAGGCTTGTCTTCATTGAGAGTGGTCTTTAGCACTCTGGACCCCGGATTTCTCCTCTCTTTTCCTCCCCTTCCCTCCTCTTTCTCTTTCTCTCCCTCCCCCCACTCTCTTTCTTTCACACACACACATACACACACACACACACAAACACATGCTACTCCTCAAGGATCCACCAACTCCCAATGTCCTGAGTACATAATATTTCTTTCTCCTTTATCATATATCCGTAGTCTCTCTCTGACATCCAATGAGCTCTAGAGACACAGTGATCAGGTGGGAACCAGAGACTTGTGAGTATTTCCCAGAAGACAAGACTTACAATCTACTCATAGGATTTTCCCAGCTTCAGTTAATGACCTACTGCTGTCAGTTTTCCCCCTAGCTCCAGGAGGGCAAGATGATATGCTTCTAAATGAGGGCAATGAAGTCTACCTGTTGAGCCTCATCCCTGGTTAATTGGGTACAATACTCAGTTTCTAAGACAGTTATATGTTGAAGTGCCATTAATAATTTGTGATGAGAACAGAATGTTTAACTTTTCTCTGAGACACTGGGCAACCCTGCAACTTCACCTTCTACCTAACCAAGTATCTTAAAAGTAATTCTGATTTTCATTTCTCTTTGCCTCTCAATCTGACAGTTGGTTTATAACTAAATCCTACTATTTCCTTTTATATATCAGCTCTGCCTCTTCGGCTAGTTTCCCAGCTAAAATATGAGATCTGGAAACTTCCTGACCCTTTTTCCAGCTGGGTTTTCTACTGGCATCATGAACCTGTCCTTCCATTCTGTCTTCATGGTTTGGCTCATGTGACCCTAGTCACCCAGAGTCAGGCCTTCCCCCTTCTCCCTGGCTTCTAAGACCATCAGAAATTTTCAGAACAATTCTCATGTCTACATAGTGAGCAGTGACCATTTTCATTTTCAGCTCTTTAGGCAGCTAGAAATGTACAGTTAGCTCAGGATAGTAGCATCGAGAGAGGGAGAGAGGACCCCTGACCAGCTGGATCTAGCAAATTAAGGAAAATGCATTTTGTAACTGCAAGGCTTACCATTATGATTTTTCCTACTGTGGTCTCAGGAAGGATCTGGAGTGCCTGACACAAAGAGTGAGTAGCGTGGCTAGAATTTGAGAGAGGTGGAGGGAAGAGAGGGCACAAGCATAGAATCAGTACAACTTGGCAACAGACTGGATGTGAGGAGAGGGTTGGGGATGACCTTTACCAAGATGGTGAATCCACATGGAGCAGCACCATGTTCTAGAGGAAAGGCAGTTGCTTCAGTTTGAGACTCGTTGACCAGATGTGTTTGGAAAACAGTTGTGGACTGTCCAGTGGGTAGTGGGATATTTGGGGCACTAGAGGGTTGAGAAAGGGAGACAGGAAGACCAAAACACCAAAGAGAGTGGGGAGTCAAGCCAAGAACTCTGTGAACAAAAATATTTAAGGAAGGGAAAAAGAATCCCTTAAGGGATCATTGGGAAGAAAGAGAGAATGGAGAGGACATTAGGAACACTGAGGCAGGAGAGACAGGGTACAGCGTGATCATGCCTGCAAGCCAAGAAGATAAGGAGTGAAGAAGGTGAGGAATGAAGACATAACCGCTTAATTTGGTCACTGGGTGGCCAATCATATCAGTGGCTCGTTGTAAAGAGTATTTGGTTACAGCATGGAGAGATGAAGAAAGAAGCCTGCTCAGGTAAAGATTGTGGACATGGCAGCTTAGACAGTAAGGAGCAGTCTGTGAGAACTGGAGTGCCCAGCAATATAGGAATGTGGCATCATGGTGATGGGCTGGCAGTGTTCTCAGAAGATGATGACTCTGAAAGCCTTGGTGGCAGTGAGTGTGAAAGTGAGGGCAGATGGTATTCCAGATCCTGATGGAACTGGTGCCAACCAGCACAAGTACAGATTTTGGGGCCAGACCTTGTTATTTGGTGGCTGTACAGAGCCAGCAAGTTATTTAAATTTTGATGCCTCATTTTCTTCCTTTGCAAAATGACACTGGTACCAATTATGACCTGGAATTATCATGAGGATTAAAATGAGTTTAGAGAAAGAACCCAACATAAATTAGTAATTGTGGTAATGCAGGCCAAACTCTTAAGAGTCACCTTTGACTTCTTCCTTTCTCTTTCTTTATCTCACCCCTGCCCTTTACAATCCACCTCCAATTTGGAGGGACATTCTGTTGGCTGGTCCACTCAAATGCCACCCATCCAAAATCTGACCACTTATCCCTACCTCCACTCTGGTCCAAGACACCTTGCTTCCCAGCCTGATGATACCTGTGGCTTCCTGGTGGTTTCCTTACTTTGACATGGGCACTTCCCTGCTCCACCTACCCTTACGCACTGGCCAAAGTGATTTTGAAAAAAACTTAAGTACACAGCAATCTATTATATATTCTATGAAGAACTAGGAGAGAGGAACTCAAAGGTTCAAATAAATAGATGATAAGGGGATGGAAATAGTAATTACCTTGATTTAATCAGTTCAGGCTGTATGTACATGTTTAAACATCTTAGAAAAGAAGCCAAGTCCTCATTAGGGCAGAAGCCCTGTCAACCTCTCTGAGAGCTCACAAAGGGCACTCCTCTGGTGATCCTCCCCCTGCCCACCACTCTTGGGATTCACAAGCAGCTTCCACCCTCAGGCCTGCCCCAGTTTCCCAGACTTCATTTTAAAGATCACCTATTTCTCTCTGACCTATACTGGCCCACCTTCTGTAGTCCTTAACCCTTGCTCCTGCTTTGCTTCTCGGTAATATTTATAACTATCTGATATTTTTTCTACTTTTTATTTAGAGACAGACATTTTTCTTGTTTTTTTTTTCCACCACCCCCGCATTGTTATTGCTGTGTTCTCAGACCTTAGGACAATGATTAAATATATACTGATTGAATATATGATGGGAAAGCTAGTAGCTTAAGTTTTGTCTATCCGTTTTTCTCAATTGTGGGTCTGGGGTTCATCCCTGGCTGGTCTGCCTCCTGTCTATTTCCAAGACTTGTGAGTAGCCCAACCCCACAGAATACATCTGCGAGACCAGATGGGGTCCCACTTCTAGAGGCTTTAAGCTTTGAGGGAATGTTGCCAGCGCTGTAGAGGCTGCTTCACTACCCTCAGCCCTCTCTTCAGGCCTCCGCGTGCCCCGCCCCGTCCCCGCCCCGTCCGCGCTCCTCCTCCTCCTC